AAGTAGAATATCTAGGTACGTATAAATTATTTCAACTTGATATAGGCGCTGTTGCCAATATGTGAATTAGAAACAAATCCCTTTAAAATTAAAACCCAACATTTGAAACATCAATTTGAAAACTTTTTGAAGTGAATTTGAAAAACTCATGAATTAAACTCAACTTTAATTTGTTCAAACTTGCATTTGCTGTAATAACTCAAATTGAGGAACATTCCCCATTCCACACAGAACACTTCCTATGATTTATTTGATTTGTAAAAGAAAAAAATAACACCTCAATATTGATGAAAGCAAATAGTAGAAACCAAACTTCCAGTTGTAAATTACTATAAATTTCTAGTTTTTCATGCTTTCTTATATATCCTAAATATTGTAGGATGTTTTTCAATACTTCAATACAGCAAATTTTACAACAAGTTGCAATTATTGAAACTCAACAGTTATGAAACAGTTTGAAAGAGTTAACCGAAGAATTGTTTGTGCTCAGGGCACACGATTCTCGAACCCAGTGCTCATTCATCTGAAGTAAATGATCACTGAGTTCACGAATTTTGTGACCTGAGAAGTTTTCAACAAAGATCAACAATCTTCTGCATTTATTTTTGAGATTGTGAGAGGTTATATTCCCCAAAAAACAGTTAAAAAGTATCGAGTCCTTGAGCCAAAGAATATTTCTGAAATTACTTGTACCCCTCAATATATTACATATTTAAGACACAAGGAGGGTTTCAATTCAATATAAGCACTGAAAAAATTGAACTGGATGGTTAGAGAAAAAAAAAACTAAACTTTCATAACTCTGCACGACATTGCAACGGATTTCATTAAAAAGTATCAACAGTGACAAAAAAAATATCAACAGTGACAACAAAAAGTGTATGTAGTATATTTAAGAAAATAAGCATCACAAAATCATCGTTTTGTTTTTTCATGACTCTCATTAAAACTGTTTTTTAAATTGATACAGATTGAAATTTTTGTTAGCCAATGTCACATCCATCATGTATTTTAGGAACTACTATAAATGAATTGAACCTACCTAAGCATATGGTTGGGCTAAGGTAATATTTTGCAAATTGTGAAGATCAAATATTAATTTTTTTCTCAAATTTTGTCAGAGTTGCATGCTTTTCAAATTCAGCTGCGATAAAGAGATTCCACTGCCAAGTAAAGAGTATATTACAAATAACAATATCTAGATAGGGTGGTCGAAAGAAAACAAAACAGAGCCATTATCAGGAATTGAATCAATTCTATCGTGAATTTCAGGAGAGTGAAACATAATTTGTCTTGAAGAACGTATTCTTATACAAAAAGCAATAACAGATATGCTCAGGCTCTGGTAAAAATACCAAGCCCTTGCTTACGATTTTGTAGGTACGCGTGGCAGATACCCACCGGAAAAACAACAGCTAACACAGTTAATACCGTGCAGAAAGCTGAAGTAAAACCATCAGGCACGTGTACAATGTCTTTCATTTGGAATATTAGTCGCGAGATAACTTTCTATATGTGAAAAGCTGAAATTAATTTAGTAGGGTTGTCCATTGACAGACCAGTTTCGGAGTACTAGCTCCTCTTCACTGCTGGGCAGGTTATTTCAAACAGATTGAACCAGAGTTGCTTCCGGACTTTGTCTGCAGGTGGCGCTGTAGTAAGTCCTACTAAGTCAACTGCAGACAGAGCTCATAACTAGTTGGAATTAATTCTGTTTGTTTGGAATATCCAGACGGTTTTTCGGAAAATGAAAATCGAACAGCCTTTTCAAAATGGTTGTTTGTATCTTTCCAAAAGTCGAATTTAGTTTTCCTGCGGCTAGAAATGCCGTTAAAATATTACTGGACGATTTTTACTCACGCTTATGGGGTGTAGCTGGAGGAATCACAAGAAAGGTGTTCTTCTTTGACAGAAGAATCGACGAGTCCTTGTGCTTCTCAAAATATTGAGGCACTTCGTGATAATGAGTCCGTTCCGTTTAAAATTCGACTACACTGTATACCAAGGATGAAAATTCAAACATATTTGTCAAGAGCAATGAAGAGGTGAATTGAATATATCACTTTTACAAGCCCTATATATGTTAGACATATCAACATACACTTATAGATATTATAAAAACAAAACAGAGCTGCTAGAATAAAAAAAAAACAGGAGATTTCGAAAATCAGTGCCATTGTTCATTATTACTTTGGTAAAGACGTATAAAATGATAATTTCAGAAAAACAATTCACTGAAATATGTGTTGCGCTCCATTCGAAAATTCTTCAATTCATTCTTGTTCGCTGGCTAACGAACAAGAAGAAATTGAAGATATCAAATAATAAATGAAATACACAAAACAAGTAACAGTTTCATTGAATATGACATAGGTCCGTCGATTGATTTGGAAGCGAGAAAAAAGATTTGCATGTCAACTTGCCTGGAGGTTTACAGAATAAGTGCTCTTCGATGAACTGGCATGGGCATGTAAGACAAGAGCAATGACGGCCGCCTGCCGCCGGAGGGCTTACCAAACGACCCTTGGCCAGCTCACCCCCCCAACGTGATGAATAACGTAGAAATAGAAGGGTTGCTCTTTCCTGAAAAGTAAAATTTTCGTTGGAGAAACTCAGAAACTGGCTTTAGATATTTACATCTGTCCCTCTCTTTTATTATTTGAACGGGTCAACTCGAAGAATTGAAATTTGGGATGATGAAATTAATGCATGAATATTTTATTTTGAAGTGAAATTGACAGATTAAACTTCCAAGATGGCGACTGGGCGCCTATCCGATATTTCACGCCGAACATTTTCGAAAACAGTAACGTCAATATCTCTACAAATATTTATTATTCTCTGCCGTATATCCAATAGTGAAGCAGCTTCAGTTTCGTACACCTTTTGCTTCAAATAGCCCCATAAAAAAAGTTCAAAGGTGTCAAATCTGGCAAGCGGGCTGACCATTCTGTAGGACCTCGACTATTTCAGTGATGAGAGGGTCAACAGTAGTTTTCAGCGTATCAAATACAGTTCCCCTGTTAAATTTTGATCAATAAATAGAGGTCCTACAATATGGTTTCCCAATATTCCTATCCAAACGTTATTTTTTTCTGGATATAGGCACCAATCATTTGCACTTGACTTCATATTCTAGGGTTGTGAAGTATTCGTCAGAACCTTCAAGAAGTCGCCATCTTTAGAGTTTCATCTGTCAGTTTCACTTCAAAATAAAGTATTCATGCGTTGATTTCATTATCCCAAATTTCAATTTTTTGAGTTTGCCTGTTAAAAAAATAGCAGTGCGGGGGGGCTATAAAGAAATGCACTGTATAATGGTATCAAGTTAACGTACAGTGAGTCCCAGTTCAAGCAACTTTGTCAATATATTCTAGATAGATAGATAGACAGATATTTATTTCTATTTCCAATCACAAAGTTTTACACATGTCAAGAATATGGTTGAAGTAACATACAAATTGAAATTAAAATAAATCAGACAAGACAAAAGTAGACTTTATAAACAAATTATGGTCAAATTATTTAAATGAAGGTAATCAAATTCCGTTTTGTAACTATCCAGATCTGCTTTGAATGTAAAGGAAGCTTATTACAAAACCTAGGCGCCTATTAATTTATAGAATATATAACTGACTTTATATATAGAACTTGGGTTTCCACATAATCTTGGTTAAAATCCTATATAAGTGGTCTTCGTATGACTGTCAAATATAATAATATCGTGTCCAAGGAACATGACGTAACATTAGGAGTTCCTCAGGGATCAGTATTGGGACCTTTACTGTTTGTAATATTTGTTAATGATCTCGCGCAATATATTGATATTGATAATTGTTATATTACTATGTTTGCAGATGCTACCACAATGACAATTACTGGAGCCACACTA